TGTGCCAACACCGTTTGGGTTCGGCCCCCCAAAGTACAGGCCCAAAAGACTTGCCCCGCTCCTCGGGGAAAGGCGCCTTCGCGCCGTGGCCACAGATCCGTTGGCCTGTTCTAACGGCACAATGCATCTGGACCGGTTTCTCCAGCATATTCATGAACGGTGAGGTAACGGGACAACTAATGTGGCACTGTTTAGGGCCACTGTTCTTCGAGATACGGTACCTGGGCCTCTTTCTAACGATTCTCTTTTTTTTTTTTTTTTTTTTTTTGAGAAGAAATCAACTTTATTTCCAACTGACAAAATTCGAGGCCGGGGACCTCACAATTCAACCCGGAGTAGCCATCGAACCAAAAGCCCCATGTCTACTCACTATCTCACTAGTCTATCCTCTCAAAAAAAAAACTTGAAGCACAGTAAAAAAAAAGGTTGCTGTAGAAGCAAAATCCCATATAGCCCATTTTTCAAACAGCCTAGATCTTCTCCAAAAACTTATGTGCTGAGATAATCACAACAGTCTGTAAAAAAAGCTTTCTAACGATTCAGGGTACCACGGTCGGCCTCTTTTAGATTCGAATGAATCTGGTGCGTGGGCCTGTACAGCCCCACATGGAAGTACCAAACGGTCGAACTATGGGCGCGCAAAACGGAAAAGGTTTTGTTTTGGGCGTTGGCRCTTTCTACCAATTATCTTGCCGTGTGCATGTGGCCAGAATGTAACATGTCAGCACAAAATTCGTTCTTAGGGAAAAGRGAAAACCCGTTGGGCCCTTGGCTCTCCAAGCCAGCRTTGSCAGGACCTTGGCCAAATATTGTTGGTTGCTGTGCAGCAATGATATTGGCCATTAGAAGGGGTAGGGGGAGGTGCAAGTGACTGGCCAAAGATGCTCGGCACTGCCCGTAGCATCGCCGGTTTCCCCCGTCGGCAAAGCAGAAGGCACCTGGGTATCGTCGGGTGCCCAAAACGCTCTGATCACCTTGTTAAGTAGGTTTTCCCACATGCGAAGTTCAAAAAAAAAAAA